GGTTCCGGAAATGCAAAATTAAAGTAGATTTTTTTTCTTTTCTTTTATGTATGGTTAGATAGAGCTTGACGAGCTGATCAAGAATATGTGTGTTTTAAATTTTTTGGAGTCAGTGTCTAGTTAAAAATTCTCAGTTTTTTTCCGATGACCTATTGTTTCTAAAAAGAAAAAGAAAAAGTCAATATCCAATGACCGACCGATTTTCAATTATTTTTCATTTGCTTCAAATTCTAAAACTGTTTGTTTCGAATTCAGCAATGAAAACTGAATCTATGGAAGTCATTTTTGAGGCTATTCAGATATCACAAGAGTTGAGGGGTCTAAATTGCGGAGGAGAATTTTGTAATGCTATCTATAGTGATTTGGTCTCAAATTCAGGGTGAAAACTTGATTTCTTTCAGTTTTGGTATTTTTTGTTTCTTCTGATTTTTTCGATGCACTAAGAGATATTTTGGTGTGAGTGTGGGTATGGGTGTGGTGGGTGTGGGTGTGGGTGTGTGTGGGTGTAGGGTGGGGTTGGGTGTGTGGGTGTGGGTGTGGGTGTGGGTGTGGGTGTGGGTGTGGGTGTGAGTATGGTTTGAGAGGTATTCACACTCACACCGTAGGTCGGTCCGCGAACGTCAATGAATGCATCAATTTCAGAGATTATCGTGACCGTTGATCACTAAGAAAACAACAAAGTATTTTCCTGTAAGTTATTGCCTGAAATGATACCATTTTTCGACTTTTATTTCTTGTGCTAGATAGTACATTATAAAATGACACGTAACTGAATAATTTAGTGATATTATTCGAGATAGGCACTATTTTTCTTCTAAAAAATATTGCTCCACTCTTTCTTGTAGAACTTACAATATCATCCTTTGACACACTTCGTCCAGTACATAAGAATACAGGCAAGTTTGTTCGTTTTCTCATACTGAAACCAAATGTTCATTCAGTCTAGTTGCACTTACTCAACAGACATTCATCTAAATAAACAAACAGGGGCGGTATTTCTCTTTACAAGATTCTTGCTATTATCAAAAAGAAAAATATTTTGGAGAAAAGGGACGAAATAAAACATTTACCAAGAAGTGTTCAAGTGGGTTCCAACTTACATTATGCATTTACTAAGTCATTGACTCCAAAAATAGCTGATCAAACCTGGCACTTTCTCATGTGAAAAATAAAATATATATGTATACAAAACCATGTTAACAACATACTCACTAAATTGACAAATATGAATTTCGTTATCCTGATCCTATTCGTTACGATCTATTGTGAAGCCGCGATACTGGCTCTCGGTTTGAGACCAGTTGCTCGGCCACCTCCAATTGTTCGTACATCAGTTCCACCTTTTAGTCCAAGCTGGGATCGATTTCCCACACCAAAGCCGAACTCATCCGACATCGACTTATCAGAACCAGAAAATAATGGTGAAAATCAAAATTCGTCGCCACCCAGCATACCCAGTGTATGCTGTAGTCAACAGCTGGTACGTTTCGCTTGTAATAATGATCAAGTTCTTGGATGTGCATGTAAATGTCGAGATTCAATCATGGTGCCCAGTGGCGGTGCCTTTTTTAGTTGCTGTTTGGAATAGAACTTTTTCATAAGACATACTAATAACAAGCAAAATCTTTGATAAGAGAAATCCAATTGTAACGTATTTTTCATGTAATGATATGCGAGAAGCAAAACATTTTCGAATTTCACTCCTCACTGTCTTTTTATTGATTTCCATATTGTTAATATAACATATCTTTGTCGTCTTAGCACATTTGCTTCACGTATACTTTTCTCAATAAAGATGTACTGACCCTTAGATACTCGCCACATTGTTTTTGCCATCGGCAGTACCAACCCATCTAGTTTAGAATTTAAGAGACATTCCATGATAAGACCACCCAAATTGATATGGGTCGGCTGCCGAAAAATTTTTGATTTTGATCTTATATATACCATTCGAAAGTTCACGAAAAGTTGGGTCATGGGCTAAAAGTCAGCTCTTTAAAGCAAAGTTGAACGGAAATAATATCATGAACAGCATATTAGGGCCGATGCGTGCCCAGGACAAAATAGGAAAAAACGGAACGGTTTGGTATTTTTCATCTATCTCAGTCATTTGTCAACCGTTTTTGGCGCAACATCCACCAATCGTTTGAGCATTGAAAACGGTATCGGAGGCTCTATATAGCTTTCGCATGCTTTGCCATATCGCGCGTCAGCAAGTGCTGAAATGTATAAGACTGCTACGGTCATCATAAAATTTAGGAAATATTTGTGCTCTAGCTCTGCGCACAACGGAATATATTTGAGTTGTACGCCCTGAGAATGCATTCAAAAGCCTATTATCTGTTAGGGACCTCAATGAATATCTCAAGTATCAATATCTTAACTGCCCCTATTCTGATTTCGAAAAATGAGTGTCAAACGTTTTCATTTTTAGACTCTTTCTTACTAATAACCGTCTCATGTCTCTTTTTGCTTTTGTCGAATTTGCAACAACAAGCAATTTTCTTCGGAAACGTGTGTGAGTGTGGACGGTGTGTGGGTGTAGATGTAAGCGAATCGAGTAATCACACCCACACCCACACCCACACCCACACCCACACCCACACCCACACCCACACCCACACCCACATCCACAACCTCACCTACACCCACACCCACACCCACACCCACAACCTCACCCACACCCACAACCTCACCTACACCCACACCCACACCCACAACCTCACCCACACCCACAACCACACCCACACCCTCGTATTTTTACAAAAGCAAACACTGCTCACGAAGATCTTGTTTTACCGCTGTTGAAGGTATGAGTGATGGAAAATGGTTACCAGTCAGTTCAATAGGATTGCCTTCAGAACTTGGTTGAGCTTTTGGTACTTTTGATTTTCCGTGCATTTCATTTTTTTATGAATCAGATGCAATCAAACGTCAGAAAACCCAATTAAAGATGATATAGACTTGCGAACATACGCAAAGAAATAGATCGTGTGTGTCTTAATTGAATAATGACGTAAGGCAAAATAATAGAAGTAACTGGTTTAACTATAGGAAGACAGATGGTGAATGAGGCATTACACAGATGATAGAATGACAATATATTGGAACTGATAAATCTATGATCTCTACTAGTATTCATACCATTGCAGTATCATAAGAGACATGTCCAAACCAGTTACGAGTGAATTCAGAACCAAAACACATATATGTAGTTCCCGTTCCCAAGGGGTTAATGCAATCAGTCGCTATAAGTAACACATGTACATACACTTCATTATCGAGTAATCTTTTTTTCTCTGAAATTAGTTTCATTCGATTTCTTTTTGCAATATTGGACCCCCATTTCAAACCTATATAAAAGCACGTACAATCTCGATAGGAGGGCTCATCATCCTTGCTCTTTCTCAATGCCATTGAATTTTAATTGTATCTGAACAAGGTATATAGTCGGAAGTGACAACCTAGAACATTTTCTTTTCTCACACGATTTCAAATTCATCTAAAAGTTCAGATAATAACTGTATCATGCAACTCAAATGGTTTTCTTCGGTCACACACACCAACTGTGATACAGCTTTATTGAATTAATTTAGTTTGATCATGAAACATTACAAATTCATTATGGCGTGAAATGACATATAACAGAAGCTGTTGATCAAGAGATTTTATACTTAGCAACACTAAATTTCACTAAATTAGTAAGTTGATGCTTCTTACATTTTCGTGACTATTTTAACAAGTAGTTCTTATCTTGTCTGCTGAACTTCAGATTGAATATTTTACTTTAAGATTTTGTTGTAATCATTCCTTGTTAAGCTATACCTGACAGTATTTAGAATTATCTATCTAATTTTTTCTTACTACATAAACAGAGTTTGACTGAAAGCCTTTTCTCTAACATCAGTGTTAGATCATTAACCCTGATTTCTAATCTATAAAATCTCTGAATTCTCTCAGCTTCACCTGGATGCTGCCTAAACCTAATGGCTGGATGTAATTTGTTTACTTTATATTTCATTGAATCACAATACTATGTATCGTTACTATGAACCCATTTCATGAATTGATTATTTATTTGAGTGAGAACCAGCAAATATTTGTCGAAACATTTGTTTTTGCCTTGAGTCCGTTTGAATACCAGATAATCAAATCAGAATTAAATTGAGACCGTGGAGATAATAAAAAATCAGTCTATTGTGTTCTTAAATAAATTAGCCACTTTCCCGCTAGAGAAAATCTCGGATTATCTATTATTTTTAAGCGTAAGATAATTTTTCAAATATCTTCTATTGACTTTCGTTTATATTCATAAAATTTAATTTGAATGATTTTGAAAAAACAAAAAAATTGTGAGAATTGCGGAACAAATTATTAGGATTGTAAATAATTATAAATAATGTTGACCTCAGTCTTTTAAGATTTTGAGTACAAATCCTTAAAAACTAGCCATATTGTAATGTAAAGATACTAATTAAAGTATCAATTTTTCGCAAAATTAATTAATTAAGGTAACTTCTATTACTCATGATGCATTATTTCTCCAGGGGAATCTACAATCGTAGAGTGAAGTGGTGTTTAGTTAATGATATTGATGGGTTTAAATAAGGTTTTCCTCAGTACCTTGCATATTAGTCACATCTAAATCAAGTCAATCTGTTAAAAAAGCTAACACTTCGTTCTAAAACAAACGTCTAGATTCATACAATTAAATTTATCAGTTTCGATCAAGGTTGATAAAACTAGTCTCGAAATAGCAAGAAAATTATCACATAACTCTCATTAGCATTTGTTAATGACAGATAATTTTATGAAAAAAAACACTGTGATCACCAACCATTGCATAATGTGGCTTTTAATTAGACAATATATTTTTACCCTCATTAAGTAATCCTAACCATCATCACAATGATATATGCCAGAGACTTTTCGTAGGACTGGTATCTTTATAAATTACTTTCGACAACTGATATTTTAATAGTAGAGAATTCTTCTTGTAGATGGATAGTGTAACAATAAAAATATTGTTATTCAACAATACGAACACCACATGTTCAAAACCTCTTTTATGGACTCAAGATGTTATTGACAATACAAAACCTCAACTTTATGCTTGTATTATTGCTTTAGTTATTCATTTAGTATTTTGGCTTCAAATTATTTTTTGCTCACCTCTTCGACAAAGATCACTCTTCTGGATCTATTCTTATCTTATCACTGATATTTTTCTTCTTATTCGCTTTTTGTTTAGTTATATTGTTCATACAACATCTATGGCATGTAACCCAGCTAGAGCATGGGTTTTATTTACCTGCTATTTTGAAGCAGCACTTGACAATTATTTCAATATAACTGAAGTATATATTCTATTAGCTTTGAATATATGTCGGTATATACTAATAGCATACAATCGAAATGTATACGAAGTCCATATGAAACGATTGATCTTGACTCAATTTGGTATATATTTAGTACCATTTATTGTTTTTATTGTCGAATTTCTTTTTGGTTGGACTCGTGTAAAAGAGCTTATTAATGATGGTTGTGACGTAGTTTATACGAATATCTATATTCAAGTATTTAATACAATTTTCGGATATGCATTACCAATGTTTTTAAACGTGTTGGTGATTTATGCTAGTGTTCGTCATGTTCATTTAACAGCAACTTTACAACGGACACAACATCATGTTTCAGCTCGTGAAAAATATCATCATTCATTAGTCATTCAATTTCTTTGTTTTTATCTCATTTGGGGTGGACTTTGGTCACCATATGTTATTATCTCTCAAGTGTCATTTAGTGTTGAGAATGTGATGAATACTATTATTCTGCTTAGTTTTATTCAAATAGCACTCGATCCAATAATTATTGCAGCTTTAGATGTTCGTTTTTGGCATGAATGGCGAAAAGTCTGGATTCATATAAAAAATAAAATATTCTTCAATCGAGCCAATCGTAGACGAATTCAACCATTAACAGTGAATCTGAATTGAATTTCAGTTAAGGCTCTCTGATTGACAACAAACGATTTTAAAAGACAAAAATGCGTAAAACTTAATTTTCTCTGAAAAAACTTTTGTTATCTAATATAAAACTATCATTCTATAAATAGACTTTCGGACAATAGCTGCGGGTGTGAATGTGGGTGTGAGTGTGGGTGTGAGTGTGGGTGTGGGTGTGGGTGTGGGTGTGGGTGTGGGTGTGGGGTGTGGGTGTGGGTGTGTGGGTGTGGGTACGGAGGTGTCTAATCACCTAATACTCACACCCGTACCCACACCCACACAGCCCACACCTCAGCCACCCACACCCACACCCACACACCCACACCCACCACTCACACCCACACCACACACACACTCACACCCACACCCCATACCCACTCGCCACACTCACACCCTATCCATACTCACACCCGCACCCACGCGCACACCCGCACCCACACTCACACCCACACCCACCCACATCCACACCCACACCCACCCACACCCACACCCACATCACTACAAAAAATGCCTTTTCAATAAACAGGAAATCTAAATAATAATGCTCGGTATCATTTTTCGTATTGAAGATGTTTCATAAGAGAATGAAGTATGGATCGTACATCTTACTTTGTGCGAAGATAACGACCTTAAAATCAAGGTATCTGCCGAGCATGTCAAAATGAATATTGCCGAGAAACGTGATACTCATACGCTTTGCTGTGCTATTCTGATTTTAGGCAAGTTGGACACAAGTAAATGTTCGTATCGCCAATATTTGAAAGAAATATTTGGTGATCATTCTCACACAACACAAATGACTATCATAATCTTGCTCTGGTAGATGATGCTTGTGGTGAATATGGCAAGAGTTTTCAAATGTTCAAAATAGTATGGGAGCTGTATATCGTAAGACAGATGATCTGATTCTAGCACCTTCAACCTATGAGAGTATATTTCACATTTCAGAAGATTATATGCTAATGAAAATGATATAGTTACTGGTTGTTTAATTAACATAGATATCATATTTAACACAAAAAAGAAATATGAAAAAACTCTTGAGTTACTTTGATAATTATTCTTCACTTGACGTATTGGAATATAACTCTTGTCTATCACGACAAGGAGAATTATTTTCAAGCTTTCTCTTTATACGAGAAAGCATTATCTTTTTTTCCTTGCATATAAAACAATGCATGAAAAATAAAAGTAACAATTTAAGAGAACAGAACATCTGTATAAGATTTATCTTGAGGATGTGGGTGTGGCTATGGGGTGTCGTTGTGAGTGGGTGTGGATGAATCACAAGACCCACACCTACCCACCCAAACTCACACTCACACCCACACACCCACACCCCAAATATGGATAAATTCAGAATTCACACAGGTACACCGGCATTCACATCCGTACTGATATCTATACCCAGCGAGACAAAGAACGAATCAAAATAATCAATCTTTTCGCACACCAAAATCTGGATATTCTCTGACATCATTAATGATCGATTGCGACGTCTCACCTTGCCAGTTAGAAACAATTGTCCATCGATCTTGTTGATAAGCGATCGACGCTGACAACGATACTTCTCACACACTACCGGAAAATTTGACATTAACTTCCATCTTGTACAAGATGGCAAGAATGAACATTTTTTCACATTTATTTAGAAACAAGAAATGAAGATAGAAGAAAGTGATACAAAACCAAAACTCCAAAGTTTATCCGTCAAATTCTCAACCTGCTTATGGCTGTAAGGAGGGTGAATCGTCATCATCAACAATCTGTACAAAAAAAACGCGAACGTCGCTTTAGAATGGGCAGCATAGAGATAGAAGTCGACATCCAAAAGCTAATGAAGAGTCCTCAGAATGAATCCATTCAATCACTATACTCATCAATTAACAGAAGAGTCCATCACTCCTTCGTAATAGGCTAAGTAGAAATACGAATCAGAAAAAAAATGACTTCATCCAACTATTCGCCAATGGTCACGTCCAAAGCAAGCAAACTGTACAAGTGCTTTAACATAACGATGCTGATGAATGCAATACAAGGAACTTTTCAGTTCACAAATTGTGGATAACTCAAAGAATACTATGTTCGATACACAATCCACTACCACCTTGCTCTAAGTGAATACACACAGCCAGAGACTCATACGAAAATTACCCATTAAATACTTCAGTAAGCACAAAGACGACGCAAAAACATAGGTATCGTCACATTTGGCTGCATAATATCGCGATCATATAAAAGTTCAAAAAAGATTCCATCAAATCTCACCACTGTAAAGACTAACTAAATGAATCCATGCCGTACAGCAAACGAACATGTATCAAAAGCAGATTATTCGAATGTCAAGTTTCAATTGAACTAGGAATTGCATATTCTTCATATATTTAACAATGACATCTAAAAAAAATCATACTCATCATGAACACATACTGAAACGATGTCTCAATTGTATTAAAAATAGTAAACATTCGATAGATTCGATAATGGTATCAAAATCGATTAATACTCAGCATCGAATTATACTAAAATCACGTTTCAACTGAATAAAAAAAAACTATCTTTTTGATAGACTTGATAATCACATCCCAGGCAAATAATAGTCATCATGAAACGATTCTCAAAAATTTTTTAATTGTTTTCGAAATTAAATGTCTTTCATAGATTTCAAAATCACATCGAAATCAAACAATCCTCAGAATTATGTGATTATTCTAAAGCCATCTTTGAATTTAGTCAAAGATAGAATGTTTTTGATAGCTTTGATAATAACATCGAAATCTAATGATACTCAATATGCGGTTATTCTGAAATCGTGTTTCAATTGAATTCCGAATTTTCTATTTTCTATAGATTTGATGATCACATGAAGATCAAATAATACTCACTAGCAAACTATTCTAAAATTATGTTCCAATTAAAAGGAGAATTGCATGTTCTTCATTGATTTTGTAACGACAATGAAATCAAATAATACACACAAGAAAACCATTCTTAAATCATGCGTCAATTCAATTAGCAACTTCATGTCTTTGTTACATTTGATAATGACATCCAAATAGAATAATAGTCATCATGTAGTTATTCTAAAATTCTATTTCAATCGAATAAAAAACACGATTTTTTCGACGGATTTGATATTGACATCAAAATCAAACAATCCTTAACAAGACACTATTCTAAAATCATGCTCCAATTGAATTCGAAAGCTCGTCTTCTTGCTAGATTCGACACTGACATCTAAATCAAACAATACTCATCATGAACTCATTCTAAATCATGCTTCAATTCAATTCGAGATAGCATCTTCCAGATTGATTTGATATTAACATCGAAATCCAACAATACTCATCATGAAATCATTCTAAATCATGGTTCAATCGAATACAAAATTGCCTTTCTGCTACAGCGCTAATAATGACATGAAAATCAAAAAAAATGCCCAAGATCTAAATCTTCGACAATAATGTTTGAATTCGATCATAAACTAGATGTTCTTGATAGATTCGGCAATGACATCGAATTTAACTCATACTCAATAGAATCTATTCTAAAACGATACTACAATTAAGCTATAGATAGTATAGTTTGGATAGATTTCAGAATACATCAAAATCAACTAATACCCAGCATGAAATAATTCTGAAATCCAGTGTCAATTACGTTAGCAATGGCGTGCTATTGATAAATCTGACAATGACACGAAAAGTGAATAATGCTCATGATGAAATCATTTTGAAATCATGTTTCGAGTAAATATAAGATCGCATGTTCTTTAAAGATTGGATAATGGCATCGGCATTATATAATATTCAAGAAGAAATTATTCTAAAACGATGGTTCATTTCAATCAGAAATATCATGTAGCTGACAGATTTGATAATGTCATGGGACTCAAACAATAACCAAGATGAATTTATTCCAAAACCATGTTGTACTTGAATTAGTAATAGCATGTTTTAGAAAGATTCCTTGATTACATCGCAATCGCTTATTATTCACGATGAAGTCATATTAAAAACATGTTTCAATTGAACTAGGAATAACATCCTTTGGTACATTCGATAATGACATGAAAATTAGATAATACTCACTATGAACTAATTCTAAAATCATTCTTCAATTCACATTCAAAGAGCAATGTTTTGATCAGCTCGGTAATGGCCTAAAACTCCAATAATACTCAAGATGATACTGTGCTAAAATCAAGTTTCCATCGAAAACCAAACTCCATGCATTTGATAGATTTGACAACGCCATCAAAATCAAATTATAATTAGCATAATATTATTGTAAAATCATATTTCCATTGCATTCCATATAGCATGCTTTCGATAGATTTGATAGTGACATTGAAATAAAATAATACTCATCATGAAATTATTCTAAAATCATGTTTCAATTCAATTAGAAAGTCGTTGGTCTTGATACGTTTTATAATGACATGGGATTGAAATAACACTCAGCATGAAATTATTCAAAAATGATCACCCAATT